AATCAAGTTATGGCCTAAGTACCTACTTGCAAATCATAAAATATTAAACAGTTGATAAGTTAAAAACAATATTGTGAACAAATTTTTAATTGTACCTATACACATTAAAATGGATTGAGTGGAATCTTTTTATAAGTAAAAATGATATATTTTGCCAAATTTAAACACACATGATATCATGTAGAATAAGTTAATTAATGTAGTTATGTAGGTATACAGTATAAATGTATGAACACAACTGTTGTACATTAATCGTTTAATCTGTAATGAATTACATGTATATAACCTAACACCCCACCCCCTCAACAAAATTATAGATTTAAGTCACTCTGTTGTGCTATCGGTGTACAATTTAAATAGTTGTATAATATATAATCCAACGCCGCGGTCGCGGCGCAGAGCTAAGGAAAAAAAGAAAGAAACTAGCGCGCAACGACGGTGTATATTACACGAGAGAACCAACTTGTATTTAACCAATGTTATTTTACGAAAATCATGACGACCATCCTGTAGCCTAAACTAATGAACCAATTGACTTGAAAAGTTCACAAATAGCTCAGTTTGGTGTATAGATGATTCTGTGAACATTTAAAGTTTATCGGAGTATTACAGCCTTAGTTACATACTAAAGTATTAACATAATAATTAAGCAAAACGCTATTTTTTTCATCAATTCCACAATGTATATGTTCCGCGGCGTTGGATGTTTGTGCTGGCACCGCCCATTTTTCCCCTTCCACTCGTCGGTTGAAATCACTCGTTGCGTAATCCGTCGTCACGGCGCTGCGTTGAACTATCTGGCCGTCTGAATTTCCCTCTCCATGCAACGGGTTTACGTCTTTTGTGTATGAGTGTTTAATTTTATTAAAGAAATTTTATCATCTAAAAATAAGCAACCTATAAGACATTTTGTTTCAGGTGTTGGAGGTACTGGTAAATAATTTTTAATAAAGACGATTAAAACTTATATTAATACAGTTGTAAAAAAAAAATGTCGCAATTACTGCCCCGACTGGAATATCAGCTTATAATATTGAGGGAATGACGATACATCGTCTGCTACAATTACCAGTTGAACATGGCAATACTCCATCGTATCGACCACTATCTAATAATGTTTTAAAAATAATTCGTCATACCATGGAAACCGTTGTGTTGCTTATTATTGACGAAATAAGTATGGTTTCAAACAAAACGCTTTCCTATATACATCTTCGATTATGTGAGATATTTGACACAAGTGATAGCGATAACGGTTGGTTCGGACGTATAAATATCTTAGTTCTAGGTGATTTATTGCAACTTCCACCTGTAAATGAAGCATCTCCGTTTATAACATTGAATTCTACGCAGAGCAAAAAATACTTGAATTCCCTAGGAACAGTTAACTTATGGGCTACTTTATTTATTTATGACGAACTAACTCAAAATATGAGGCAAAAAAATGACCCAACATATGCAAACATTTTAGAGAGAGTAAGAGTTAATGCAGTGACTTTAACTGATATTGATAAAATAATGTTACGAAAAATCGCATTTAAATCGAAAACAAAAAAAGATATGATTACACAATTAAATGATTTATTTACCGACATACCGACAAGTCTAAAGTGACATTGAAACCTATGTTTGAAATAATTTCAGAACAAGTTCTGATGGATAATATTCTGTGTGAAAATTGTCATACATATTACCCTCATACACAAACATCACACATATTAAATGGCAACAAATATATATTTTTACAAATACAGCTATGGTCAAATTCAACCACAAAAATCACCGACTTAGTCATGAATGGATTACCAAATGAAAAAATAAATATTGATGGCAGCATGTATAAACTACACTCGGTGATTTGCCACCATGGTAATTCAATGGCATCAGCTCATTATACATGCATTATCCGATTTCATAATAAATGGGTTAGATGCAATGATTCTAATATTTATTACGACCGGTGGCCACGTGGTGCTAAAGACGTATATACCTATAATCATTCTCCAGCAATAATTAAAACTTAAATTATATAATAATATACCTCCCCTCCCCCAAACAAATACATTTCATCACCGCTTGAAAAGAATTACATATATCTAAAATTGTAATTAAAAAAATTAGTGATATCTCATCAAAAACACTCCGTGTAAAAACATCGCTAAGTAAAAATAAGCACTTAAATTACAAAAGTTGTGATATCAAAAATTGGCTAAGTAATTTCATAAATTCATTAATATAAAAGTATTTATAACTGTTTGTATTTATTGTACCTTGTGAATTTATTCAGTGCAAATAATTGTACTTAGCTTGGCGGCTACTAGAAGAATGTATTTAAATATTTGTATTGTTCTATAGTTTAACTATAGTAAAAATATGCAAAATGATGCGGATATTTATGTAGAAATCGAGACATTTGGGTTCTTAGTTATAGAGACATAAATAATAGTAACTGCGCCAAGCTAAGTACAATTATTTGCACTGAATAAATTCACAAGGTACAATAAATACAAACAGTTATAAATACTTTTATATTAATGAATTTATGAAATTACTTAGCCAATTTTTGATATCACAACTTTTGTAATTTAAGTGCTTATTTTTACTTAGCGATGTTTTTACACGGAGTGTTTTTGATGAGATATAATATACGGTAATGAATAGTTTGTAAAAAGTTGTAAACTCCAAAAAATATGAACTTATGTGTATGTAAGTGAAGTAGTAAAATATTAGTGCATATCTTTATGTAGGTGTACGGGTAAGTGTAGTGCTAACTACTAACTGAACAATTGAAATCTTATCTAATCTCTGTACAGCATTTAATCATTAAGCAAAGTATGAATGAAAAGGTTATAAAAATGTACCTACATGATCAATGTATTTATTATTAATTTATACAATGTTGGACTAACAATGAAATCTATTAGTATTAAGACCCTGTATATGAGAACAATATATTATTGAATCTGCTTACCTTAACACCTCATCTCCGTCCCGTAAGGCCAAAGTAGCTGCGTCATGTCCCTTGTAGACATATTTATAAATGTACTTAACGCTCTTAATGGTGGAGCACACCTCAACATTGATGGGAGCGTCATATTTGGCCAGAAGATACGGGTTGTATGGAATGACAAACTCGTTACTGTCCTCTCGTTGTCTGACAAGAGCCACACGACCATTGTTCGGACGGCGGTATATGGGGTAGCCGCCATAAGAGACGTAAACCGTCTCTTAACAGTACTGTTTCGGAAACTTCTTTGAACAACTGTTGTCAACCATACATGGACTGTTGGGGTTTAGTGGACCACACGGTCCGTGAATCATGTGCGACGTCACGCAGTCAAACAGACGCCGATCAGTCTCCGGGTCTGGCAAGGAGGCGCACACAATGTTGTCGACGTCCTGTGCGTCGAGCAACTTGCTGTCCTCCCCTAAGATGATGAGTATGTGCGCGTGCGGCAAACCGCGTTTCTGGAATTCAACAGTGTATACATAAGCATTAACATTACCAAAAATCCTACCGACTGTTATGTCGTGCATAAGAGCCTTGAGTTTGACATGGAACACTCTGGCCACCAGGTCAGGCCTGTCGTTTGCCAGAGTGTATCTCCCTAGGTTTTCTGTGATCTCCGGCCACCGAGGATTGCATGTAAAAGTAATGAAGAGATCAGGCTTACCGAATTTTCGCACAATGGAAATAGCGTCGTGATAACAGCATTTATTGTAACGGGGACTCCCGACGAACGTCGAAGGTAAAATGACCCTGCGGCCGACGGCCAAGGGATTAGCCGGCACGTCCAAGTGGAGCTGTTGGTTGACGTGGTCCACAAGGCCTCGATACGCTTCTGCAAGGAGCGCACCCTGATTCCGAATAATGTAATTCAGATTGTTCGATTCCATTCTAACATACAGATCACACACGTACATCTGTAACAAAAATCCAGCTCTGTGTAATATACTAAACTGGTTGTTATGCAAGTCGTTGTTTCCTTGGTAACGAATGGCCAATCTATAGCAAGCATACTCGCGGATAGTATTCGGTGTGCGGACCGCGTTGACGCGGTAGCCGCGCTGCTCCATGTTGTCTTGCCAACCACATTCACCGTATGGGAACAATACTGGATAGAGTATTGGATCAGCGTGACGTGATCCTGCAGATAACGTCTGCATCCGGTGATGAGCGTCGGTTGGATTCCTGTTGTACATGACCAGATTGATGTCTCTCGGCGGTCGGCCATCGTCACCGACGAACACAGCCGCAATTTCATCTGCGGTGGGTGGACCGTAACGCCGTTGGTCTCTGGCTGTGTCGGTGACGAAATGCATACTGACTGTTCTCGGTGCCACTGCGGGATCATTCCTAGCCCGGGCTTCTTCATCCGCACATAACTGTCTCATATTCCTACAAATATATTTTTTAATTACAGTAAAGCACATAACATATATAGGAATAATACAGTCATATAGTAGTTGTTTTATTATGTTTTTTAACAGTTTTATAAGCTTATTACTAATAACATTTTATAACAAACTTAGTTAATTAATAAATTAAAACTCTTCAATTCATGACTTTTTGATTTAACGTTTATTTTTTTAATTGTGCGTATGTGCGATGACGCTGATAACATACGATATAACCTATAAAATAGGTGTTTACTATTTTATGGTAAGAGCGATAATGAGTTATCACATCTCCCTTTTTCGTTTTTTTTTTTTTTTAAAACAATAAAATAGATATTAAATATTTTAACAAAATAAGTACAAACATTACAAATGATAATCAAGTATTTTAACAAAATTTAAGTATAAACAATATAATGATATTAAGAATTTTAACAATATTTTTTTTTTAATAATATTTGGAATTTAAGTACAAACAATAAAATAGGTATTAAATATTTTAACAAAATTTAAGTATAAACAATATAATGATATTAAGAATTTTAACAATATTTTTTTTTTAATAATATTTGGAATTTAAGTACAAACAATAAAATAGTAGTTTAATCAATTCCTAGTCTTATAGGTTTTTTTACTACTCTTCCTTTTTGGGTTCTGACAATTGCTTTTGTTGCTATCTTTTGATTTTCAAACTTCACTACCTCTTTTTTATTTTTTTCATCATCACTTCCAATTTCATCATCACTTCCACCCAAACTTAAATCATAGCTACTCACTTTTTTCATAAATTTTGTATTTCGCCTAAGTATTTTACCCTTTTCATCCTTCACTAAATATGATCTAGGCCAATTAGTTTTACTCAAAACCACAGCTTTAGACCATAGTTTTGAAAATTTGTTTTGTAACATAATGTTTTCATTCGGTTTAAACTCTTGTTGAACATTTGTGGCTGTTTTGTCATACCACTTTTTTTGTTTTAATTTTTTTAATTTATTTTCTTCAGAGCAGTCTTCCACATTAGGACTTAAAATTTTTTTATTTAAACTATTAGTTTTAGATCTCAACATTCTACTTTGTAGCATTTGTGCTGGAGACCAAGGTAATCCTGCTACAGGGGCGTTCCTATAATTTAACAGATATAAATTTAAATCTTGATTCTCACTTTTAGACTTTTTTATCATATTTTTTGCTATCCCCACAGCTTTCTCAGCCAGACCATTGCTTTTGGGATAGTTGGGGCTTGACAGTGTTACGTTAAAATGCCATTCTTCAGCAAACTGTTTAAATTCTCTACTACCACATGGATTGTTGTCAGCCACTATTTCCTCAGGTATCCCAAAACGACTAAATACTATTTTTAGCAGTGATATTACAGTTTCACTAGTTTTATCCTTCATACTCAGAACCTCAATCCACCTCGAAAAATAGTCCATTACAACTAAGTAATTTGAGCGTTCTATCTCAGCTATATCTATTCCTATTTTTTGGAATGGTAACTCAGGAATAGCATGTTGTAATAGTGGTTCTTTTATGTTACTGCAACTAAACTTCTTACATATTTCACATGCCTCAATAAAATTTTTTAAGTCTGATGACATCCCTGGCCAATAAAATATTTGCTTGCTCTTTTTTAATGTTTTGGTTATTCCAATATGTGTATCATGTAATTTCTTGATTATGTACATCCTTAACGATTTAGGCACAACTATTCTGTTCTCATAGTAAATAATCTCTTTTTCTTTAATCAGTTCATTTTTTATTTTAAAGTAATGTCTTATTTCACCACTCTCCACAATTTTTTTGGGCCAGCCCTCATCCAAATATTTTAACACTTTACCTAAATGTTCATCTTTGTACGTTTCTTTTATTAGTTGTTCTAACCTGTTATTTTTAAACTGTACATCAAACTCATTAATCATGTGTACTACATCATTTAAGCTTTCATCAGTTAACTCAGTTCTTCGAATATAATTTCTACTTAGTAAATCTGCTATATACATGTATTTTCCAGGGCAATATTTTACATCAGTATTATAAATTAATAGTTTAAGTCTCATTCGTCTTAACCTGTTATTAGGTATTTTATTTATTTTTTTTTCATTACAGTTATTAATGGTTGATGATCAGTAGATATTTTAATTACATCTTGCCCATAAATTAATTTATGAAACTTCTTACATGCGAACACCATCCCTAACATTTCTTTTTCAATTTGTGCGTACATTTGTTCTGTTTCGCTCAAGCACCTTGACGCATAATACACAGGTCGATCATTTTGTAATAAACAACACCCTAACGCCTTTTCAGACGCATCACACTGTATTGTAAAAACATCTTTTGCATTGTAATTACTAAGGGCTGGTAATTCAATTAATATATTTTTTAGTTTATTAAAAGCAATCTCACAATTTTTTCCCCATGACCACACAAGATTTTTTTTTAATAAATTTCTTAATGGTTCAACTAACTCTGACATATTAGGAATGAATAATCTTAAATAGTTCACCTACCCTAAAAATGATTGAAGTTGCTTTATATTTTGTGGCGTACTTAACTGAATAATAGATTTAACTCTATCTGGATCTGGTTTAATTCCTTTCTCACTAAATATCATGCCTAAAAATCTTACTTCATTTACTTCAAATTGTAATTTTTTAAGATTGAATTTAATATTTAATTTCCTAGCCTGTTCTACTACCTTATTTAATGCTTCCTCATGTTCTTTTTGCGTTTCTCCACTCACAAGTATGTCGTCAAAGTATACACAAACATTCTCAATACCCCCAAAGTATTTTGATGTCAACTGTTGAAATACTTCTGGAGCATTAGCTAATCCAAAGGGCAGTCTTTTAAACTGATAAGAGCCAAATGGTGTACTGAAAGCACAATATTTCTTCGAATCACTATCCAATTCACATTGATAAAATCCATCTTTTAGATCACAAAGCGTGAAGTACTTTTTATTTGTTAATTTACTTCTTATTTCATCAATCGTAGGAATTTGTACCATTTCTCTAATTATACACTTATTTAATGCTATTGGATCTAAACACATTCTTAAGGATTTATCAGGCTTTTCTATAATTACTAAGGGATGTTGCCACTCACTAGGCTCCAAACATTTCTCAATTATTTTCTGCTTACTCAATTTCTCAATTAATTGTTTAAATTTATCTGTTAATTTTATTGGAATTCGTCTAGGCTGACTTATTACAGGTACACTACCTTTTTTTACTTTAATTTTGATTTTATCTGGAAATTTCCCTATGCCACTAAATATGTCAATATATTCTTTTATACATTTTTCTTTTTTATTATCTAACTGGATCTCACTCATTTCACCTCAAATTTAATATTTCCTTTACATTGCTTATTCTCCAACTCTACACTTATTTTACCTTGTGATTTCATTGTAAATCCACTAAATGTCTTAATAATGACTTCACTCTTATCTAATTTATTTACATTAATTTTTTTATACAGTTCTACAGGCATAACATTCAACTGTGCGCCAGTGTCTAATTTTATTTCTACATTTGTACCATTTATTTTTACAATATCTGTCCAAGTATTACATGTATCATCTACTTCAATTTTATCCAAGCATAAATATTCACTTACTTTATTCTCTTCCACTACTGTATTTAACTGTTTACTCTCACTTTTTATTTTGTTCCTACACATTATCGCAAAATGATTTTTGTATCCACAAATATTACAACTTTTTTTATATGCTGGACACTCATTAATGCTATGTGTTTTACCACACTTAGTACAATTAAATTTATATTTATGTGCTGATACATTACCATTTTCCCTTGGTGTTTTCCTTAGGTTTTCTCCTCCTTCTTGTTTGATCGGTAGCTGACTTTGTTGTTGTTGTTTCTCCATCGCCCATCTTGTTGAACTGTATTTGTTCGGTTTGTTCAGTTTTTTCTTCTCCATAACTTCAATTTTAGTTTCATTTTCTTGCACTAGTATCTTCCTGTTAATTTCTGCTTGTTCAGTAGCCTGACAATGACGTATCACTTTTTCTAAACTTACATCTTCTCGTAGTAATTTTGATTGAAGATCTTTGTCGCTGATACCAAGAACAATTTGTGTTCGTAACCATTTTTCTTCTGTTACTCCAAAACCACAACTCTTGATGAGGTTCCTTAAATCAGCGTAGAATTTGTCGAACGGTTCACTAAACTCTTGTTTTCTCATAAAAAACCTATAATGTTCCATTACTTCATTTCTTTTTGGAGTACAATACTCTTCCAATTTTTTGAAAACAATTTCAACTGTTTCATCCTTTGGTTCAACATTAAATGTTCTGTATATTTTGACACCGTCGCTGCCAATTAAATTTAATAATCTTGCTACCTGTACCTTCTCTGGTTTTGTAGTTGTTTCTGTGGCTTCGAAAAACACTAGGACTTCTTCCTTAAATAATTTATAATTTTCAGCAACATTGCCAGTTAATTTTAGTGGTTCTGGTTTATTAAACTCCATGATCAGCGATCATGTGACGTACAACACTATAGTAGGTACTTTTTATTTTATATTTTATTTATTTTTTTTTATTTTCAATCGGACGTATTGAACGAAGTTCGCGACTGCGCCATGTTTTATTATGTTTTTTAACAGTTTTATAAGCTTATTACTAATAACATTTTATAACAAACTTAGTTAATTAATAAATTAAAACTCTTCAATTCATGACTTTTTGATTTAACGTTTATTTTTTTAATTGTGCGTATGTGCGATGACGCTGATAACATACGATATAACCTATAAAATAGGTGTTTACTATTTTATGGTAAGAGCGATAATGAGTTATCACAACAGTAGTCTATGTCAGTCATTATGTTCAAGCGTTAGTTACATTTGTTTTTTATGATGTGCAGTACTGCAGTGTAATGATTATTGCACATATATTAATATGTATGTATACAGAACCACACACGATAAAGAAAGGTGAAGAAAACATTAATGAGTAAAAAATATGGTGATGCCTGGTCATTAAAAAGTTTATATTAAGTCTTATTGGGGTTTATTTGGGTACTATGTATCTGAATAAAATAAACGATAGTGAAGTGTAATGTAATATAGTGTGTAGAAATTATTAATTATGCCCAAGCTCAGTGGAATAATGTTAAAAATATAGATTGAAATAATTGAAATTATACAATCCTACAATATTATTGTGTGTTTATTGTTATTACAAAATTCTAAACTTGTGAATACTGTTTGAATGTTATGACAATTAATAACATTAAGTAATTCATCAATTTGTTCTATAGTGACCCTTTTGTAATAACCAATGAGTTTAAGAAAAGGTTGTAACAATCATTAATTTATTATATGTACATATTTTGTACATTGATGAGCATTTGAATACTGTTTGTATGCCAGGTGACAAAAATTTTTTTTTGTGTATTTATGTAATGTAAGAATATATTATAAGCAGAACAATATTATTGTCATTGAATATTTATATTATAAATGATCAACCCACACCCGAATGATAGATGGAAGTCACCACTTTTGTGTGGCATCGATGTACAATTCAAATTGTTGTAATATTGTGAAAATTCTTGGAGTGTGAAATATATGCTGTAAAAATTTACATTAGACCAATTTTAATTTAAAATTTAATAATTGTTAGTTAACAGTTTAATAATATGTCGTGTACCTACAAAATGTGATACCTAATCGCATTTAAATAATGAAATTGAATCAGTTAATAAGTGAAAATTAAATAGTTTGTCAAATGTAAAATAATTTACATAATATAATATTGTATAGATGTAATGTGTACAAATTATGAGCTCTAAGCCGGGGTTTTGGTGTTCATGAGTACATTTCATATAATTCAATGACTTTAATAACTTACTGAAATGCCTGGGCGTATGGATTGTTATTCCGAAACAGTTGGTCTAGGTCTGCAAGCACTTGCTCCAATAAACGGCCTGGATTCTGTTGCAAGCGAGCCCGGTTTGCTTGCTCAGAACTCACGAAATACAATTCACAGTATCTCGGTGGCCTGTCTACATTTAGGGCGACTTCATTGTTAGTCCTGTGATACACTTGTCCTTGAGCATAGAATACCCTAGGTCCACGACCTGGCAAACGCCTGGGGTTAAAGTCACTGGAGAACGCAGCGAATGCCAAACTGTTGTTGTACGTACGAATCTCAGCTCTAACGCTCCTGGCTTCCCTTGAATCTGAAGTCAACAAATGCATTAGTAACACAGGTGCGGGTTGCAACACCCGCTCTCCTGTTACGGTCACGAGACCGCTATTACAACATGTATAGAAACCACCCTGTCTGGTACTTTCGATGGCGAAGTGACGGGCACCACAATCTCTACAGACTGCATTCAACGCCCCAATGTAATGCTTTTCCGGGAGCGGATGTTGGACGCCAGCCGGACGATCTATCATTGGTGCACGCCCTCTAGGCTGTTCGACCGGAACACCCAGGGGAATTGGTTCGAACTGCAATTGAAATTACAAAATTGTAACAAACATAGATATAGGTAATATGAAGAAATATTCACTGACCTCTTCATCGACGCCTTGGAGTAAAATGTCGATTTCAAGTTGCATCCCGTCATTGTTGTCCACAATCTCTTCTCGGTCTGGTACTACCTCGTCGTCGTCCATTAGGACTTCGTCCATCCAAACTTCGATAAATTCTACGTTGTCGTCGTTCATCAGGAATTGGTCCACCTGGACAACTTCCTCGTCGATATCTTCCATCTGTACCTCTACGAACTCCACCTCGACGATTTCTGCGCCACCGTTTGCATCGGCATTGTCAATTTCTGCGTGAACTGGTACCTGTTGCGCTCCGACCACCTATACAATCGTTTTAATTAGTTTAATGTGCAAGTATAAAATGAACTAATAAGGAGCACAGTCAAGTGTTGAATAGGGTCAATATATTAGTGTTGTGTCTATATTTTTTCTATATATTTCCACTGAAAAATGTTGTTATAGTTTTATATAGGTTTTATTAAGTATTCGCCTGGTAATAATAATATACACTTTGTACAGTTTGTAGTTAATGTATCATCAACGTTATAAATTAATTTATAAACTTTTCAAATGAATAGTCATCCAGTGGTTTTAAGATAAGTGACTTGTGGTATTAACATTAATCTATTTGAAAGTTATACCATACATTTTTATGAGGGCTAAACACAAATTTCCAATAAGATAAGACTGTAGGAAGTATATTGTACTCTATTGAATGTATTTCAACATAACAATTCATCCATAAATAATCAGTCATATGAGAAAGTGTTTAACCTAACCTAACGTTATGTACAAAAATTATAAGTTATAAAAAACAGAGTATTGAATATTGTGAAATGTAACTATTGTTTAGGGTACAGGTCTTAAGTGTATCAAATATCAAATAGAATAAAATCTTAAACTCTATAATAAACAAAACAAATATCAACAAAAACCTTGTGCACCTATGATTTGAATAGTGTGCAATTGATAATAATATTTGTATTTGGTGAAGTTTATTAATAAGAATTGTACTCTATAAGTAGGTTAGAACTCGGTCTATAAGTATTGAAATATATATGTTGTAAAGTGTAGTATTTATGTTATAACCTATGTAAAACACACAGTAACTTATGACCTATATATGTAAAGTTGACAGTGCTAAAGCTTAAGAGTAACAACTTACATAATAGAACACCGCTATTGTAACTATTGCAGTACCTACACCATTGTCGTACTTTACAATTAAAACTAAATCATATTACATTTCACCATACACTCACTATTGACGGAACTGCTGTGTTGGTCAGGCGGCGGCGTAAGGGATTTCCCGGTGCGAAGTCAACGTGAGGAATGAAATGACTCGAACATAGCTTAGATGTTCGGTTGACTTGAAACCCCTGGTTCTCGACAAATTGAACCCACAAACGTTTCCGTACGGCGTCAGCTGGCAAGCTAAAGATAAAGATCAGTATAATAAATGTGTAGTAAGCCAGTTACTACGGAGTAACACCAATTTCATGAGTACATACATAGTCATTATTATAATATACGATAGACCGGCATAACCGGGTAGTAAGGAAATTAGGGGTCAGGAATAGGCGCATTAACCTTGGACAGAAACAAAACCGATCTCAGAGGTACATAGTTATTATATTAAAGTTACGATGGACCGGAATAATCAGGGAGTAAGAAACATAGGGTTCAAAAATAGGCGTTGTCATATACCACAGAAATACTGAACATATACAACGAGATCCAGAATTATTAAAATAATAATCATGGGGAAAAACACCGAATACATACGACGAAATTCAAATAAAAAAACAAGAGTAGAATATTATTTTAATAATAAGCCATAGTTGATAATACAGTCAACCACAGATGTGTGGGCTGGGATGATGAGCACACAAATCACATCCGTGAGAACCGAGATATCGTATATGTAGGCAAGGGGTACGGGGAACCTCATATATAAGGGAGCCCGAATCGGCCTGTATTCAGACGTGTACTACCACCCATTAGTGCAAGCACCTTCACGCCACTCTGTTGAATATTATTTGGACTTAGAAAAAATTATCGAACATTATAAATAAAATTCACAATATATTACATCTGTCTTATCATTCATTGTCTACCACGACTACAACATCAAATAAAGTGTCTGCGACCTGATCTAATAATAACTTGGTTGCCACTTATCTACTGTCAGTACTACGATAGTAGGTACCAAGCACCCAGGCTTATTACACTGGCGCAGTCGAGTACAGGAGTTTCAAGAAGCTGAGGACGAGGCGAGCAGTCAAAGCGGCGGAGTTAAATTTCCAAAGGCGAGTCGAGCAGTCAAGGCAGCGGATTTCAACTTCAAAGGCGAGTCCAGCAGTCAAGGCGGCTACATTCAACTTCGGAGATCCAGTCCCGACGCAGCGGCTACACCACGTCAGCAGCTCCACGGAGGACAGTCAAGGTCTGATCAACCAGGGCGACTCCGGATTCAACGGACAAATTCTAGACGGGCCAGCAGACAATCAGGGAAAAATGAACACAGCAGTGGCAACAGCGTTATTGTGAGTATATTAATTAAGTAAAGATAGATAATTAAATTAGAATTGTATAGCTTGAAGTGCACGTCTCACGTTGATTCATATAAATCAGCGTTTATTTTATACTTGGTGGTGGTGTAAAATATTAGGGAAAAATATTCGAATAAAAATAAATAAAGAAAAAAAATAGGAACAAGCTTGGGAAGAACTATATACGTATTTTTGATAGACAGCTGTAGACTGATCTAGGATTTTTATGGTAAATAGACGGCAAGGACCGATCTGAGATTTTTTTTGTGATAGGCAGCAGGGACTGACCTAAGAATTTTATGGTATTTTTGTGATAGGCAGCAGGGACTGACCTAAGTATTTTATGATATTTTGTGATAGACAGCGGAGACTGATCTAATAAATTAAAAGTAGACGGCGATAGGCTGATCTAAGGAA